GGAAATTAACCAATGGATAGATGATACCTCTGTTTCTCTGCCTTCAAGTAGATGAAAATAAACTTTTTAAAAAATTAATGCTAAATATATGTATTGAATAGTAATCATTCGATGTGCCTTGAATTGTTTAGTGTTCTGTGCAGCAAAGAAAAAGAATGGACAGCAGGTGCACTGAACCAAAGGGATGGATTTCTTGCATGCAGTCAGAACAAAAGGAACTGGACACAATAGAGCGCATAACGTAGGAGTCCACTTGAGTGTCGTGACTTTCAAGATCAGGCCAAACTATTCTGCAGTGAGATAAAGGATCGTGGAGATCTTTTAAGGGGGATAAATAACCGTGAGGAGACCTGAGGGAGCCCACGGATCTGCTGGAAATATTCCACATCTTTTTTTTTTTTTAAGATTTATTCTATTTACTTGAAAGGCAGAATCACATTCACACACACACACACACATATACAAACAGAGGCAGAAATCTTCCATTCACGGTTGACTCTTCAAATGGCCACAATAGCCGGGGCTGGGCCAGGCTGGAGCCAGGAGCCAGGAGCTTCATCTGGGTCTCCTATATGCGTAGCAGGGGCCCAAGCACTTGGGTCATCCTCCACAGTTTTCTCAGGTGCATTAGCAGGGAGCTGAAATGAAAGTGGAGCAGAAGCTGACACTGTGGCGCAGCAGGCTAATGCCCTGGCCTGAAGTGCCAGTATCCCATATGGGCACCAGTTCGAGACCCAGCTGCTCCACTTCTGATCCAGCTCTCTGCTATGGCCTAGGAAAGCAGTAGAAGATGGCCCAAGCCCTTGGACCCCTGCACCTGCATGGGAGACCTGGAAGAAGCTCCTAGCTCCTGGCTTCAGATTGGCACAGCTCCAGCTGTTGCGGCCAATTGGGGAGTGAACCATCGGATGGAAGACCTCTCTCTCTGCCTCTGTTATCTCTGTGTAACTCTGACTTTCAAATAAATAAATAAATCTTAAAAAAAAAAAAAAAAAAAAAAGAAAGAAAGTGGATCAGCCATAAGGGATGTCAGTGTCACAGGCAATGGCTTAACCTACTGCACTACAATGCCAGCCCTCAATATTCTACACCTTAAATTGGATGGCGGCAACCTAAATGGATCCCAGTTAAGAACTGGTCAAACTATACACTTAAGATTTGTAAATTCTACTCCTGTATGTTACACCTTAGTACAATACAAAATGAAGGGCCGGCACTGTGGCATAGTGGGTAAAGCCACTGCCTGCAACACCAGCATCCCACATGGGCACTGGGTTCAAGTTCTGGTTGTTCCATAATAGCTCCCTATTAATGGACTGGGAAAAGCAAGCGATGGCCCAAGTACTTGGGTCCCTGCCACCAATGTGAGAGAGCCAGCTGGAGCTCCTGGCTCCTGGCTTCGGCCTGGCCCAGTGCTGGCCATTACAGCCATCTGGGTAGTGAACCAACCATAGAATGGATGATTTGTCTCTCCCTCTAACTCTTTCAAAACAAACGAATAGGTGCTGGTGCTGTGGCATAATAGGCTAAGCTTCTGCCTGCAGTGCTGGCATCCCATATGGGTGCCGGTTCGTGTTCTGGCTGCTCCTCTCCTGATCCAGCTCTCTGCTTATGGCCTGGGAAAGCAGTAGAGGATGGCCCAACTTCTTGGGCTCTGGTCGTTGGGGCCATTTGGGGAGTGAACCAGCAGATGGAAGACCTTTCTCTCTGTCAGTAACACTACCTCTCAAATAAAATATTAAATAATTTAAAAAATGAGTGTTTTTGAAATATGTAAAATGCTTGTTACACTGTAGCCAATAAGAAGTTATTTAGGGGGCCAGCACTGTGGTGTAATTGGTAAAGCCTCTGCATGTGGTGATGGCATATCATATAGGTATGGTTCAAGTCCCAGCTGCTCCACTTCCTATCTAGCTCTCTGCTATGGCTTGGGATAGAAGTAGACGATGGCCCAAGTCCTTGGGCCCCTACATCTGCATGGGAGACCCGGAAGAAGCTCCTGGCTCCTTGCTTCAGACTGGCCCTGCTCTGGCTGTTGCCGCCAATTGGGAAGTGAACCAGTGGATGGAAGACCTTTCTCTCTCTCTTTCTACCTCTCTGTAGCTCTGCCTTTCAAATAAATAAATAAATCTTTAAAAAAGTTATTTATAGAACGAATGCATGACTTGAGCTCTTCAACTTTGTTCTATTTATTTCATTTGTAATACTGAGAGTTTAAATTTTGGGGGATGTTAAGCTGTCTCCATGTGACAAAAGTTTAAAAACACATCTCAAAGTAACATGGCTTAACTCAAGCACACACAAAACACTATGGGTCTTTTTTTTTTTTTTTTAAAGATCTATTTATTTACTTGAAAATCAGAGTTATATAGGAGAGACACAGACAAAGAGATCTTCCATCCACTGGTTGATTCCCCAAATGGCCACAACAGTTTGGTCTGGACTGGGCTGAAGCCAAAAGCCAGGGTGTCCATCCAGTTCTGTGACATGGGTAGCAAGGCCCTAAGTATTTTAGCTATCTTTCGCTGTTTTCCCAAGCACATTAGCAGGGAGCTGGATTGGAAATGGAGCAGCCAGGTCTTGACCCAGTGCTCTGATATGAGATTCCGGCACTGCAGGTAGTGGCTTCTACTGCCGTGCCACAGCGCTGGCCTCATACTGAGGGTCTTAACAGTTTACTTATTTCATATTTCTAAAACATCCAACCCATGTACACATCCAAAAGAATACGTATGACTGGTATGCAGGCTAACTTCAAGCTCATCTCAACACCCTAACATTCATGAAGTGTGCCAGCACCAAGGTACAGCAAGTTAAGCCACCTCTGTCAACGCTGGCATCCCACAACAGGGCACTGATTTGAGTCCAGGTTGCCCTGCTTCCGATCAAGCTCCCTGCTAATATGCCTGGGCAGGCAGTGGAAAGTGGCCCAAATACTTGTGCCCCTACCAACCACGTGGGAGACTCGTTTGGAGTTTCAGGTTCCTGGTTTTGGCCTGGCCGGGAGTTGACATTGAAGCTTTTGGGAGGGTGAACCAGTAGAATGAAGATATCCCTCTCCCCATCCCTGTGTCACTCTGCTTTTCAAATAAATTTAAAAGACAACAACAGGGGCCAGTGCTGTGGCTGAGTGGGTAAAGCTGCCACCTGCAGTGCTGGCATCCTGTATGGGCACCGGTTTGAGTCTTGGCTGCTCCACTTTGGATCCAGCTCTCTGCTATGGCCTGGGAAAGCAGAAGATGGCCCAAGTCCTTGGGCCCCTCCACCCCCGTGGGAGGCCCGGAAGAAGCTCCTGGCTCCCGGCTTTGCATTGGCAGAGCTCTGGCCATTGTGACCAGTTGGGGAGTGAAACAGTGGATGGAAGACCTCTCTGCCTCTCCTTCTCTGTGTAACTCTGACTTTCAAATAAATAAATCTTAAAAAAAAAAAAAAGACAACAATACTCATGAGGTTGTTATTATGTTGACACGCTAATTCTACAACAGTTTTATACATACAGACTTATTTAACTCTCCTAACAATCCTATGAACTCAACACCAGTACAGCAGTATAGTCTCCCATTTTACAGATAAGTCCTAGTCACTGGCTTCTGAACTTGTTTGCAGGGTCAGGGCTGGAATCGAAACTACAGACTGATTCCCCTGGACTCTCTAAATTGTTACCATATGCTTGGTTAGTTAGTTATTTTGAGCGAAGAGATTCAGAAAGAGATAGCTTCCACCTGCTGGTTCACTCCTATGGTTGGGCCAGGCCAAAGGCAGGAGCCAGGAACTCAACCCAGGTCTCCTCCATGGGTGACAGGGACCCAATTACTGGAATCAATGTCTGCTGCCTCCCAGGGTCCACATTCGCAGGCATGTGGAATCAGGCACAAAGTCAGGACTGGAATCCTGGACTCAACCCCAGGCACTCCAACACAGGATGTGGCTATGTCTCAACCAGCATCTTAACCACTAGACCAAACTCCTGTCCCCAGTACCGTATATTCTTGGCTCAAGGTAAGACACAATGGGAAGCTATGCATGAGGAAGGCAGAGGGTTTGTTTAGAGGCATTCTGATAACAGGTAGTACAGCCATCCCAGCGGACATCACAGGTGACATTCCAAGATCACGCCGAGGGCTTTTTTGCAATTCTCTTTTCCCAAGTTTGCTACCTGCCCACTGTCTGTTGGCTTCCTTTTTTTTTTTTTTTTGACGGGCAGAGTGGACAGTGAGAGAGACAGAGAGAAAGGTCTTCCTTTGCCGTTGGTTCACTCTCCAATGGCCGCTGCGGCCGGCGCGCTGCGGCCCGCACACCACGCTGATCCAAAGGCAGGAGCCAGGTACTTATCCTGGTCTCCCATGGGGTGCAGGGCCCAAGTACTTGGGCCATCCTCCTCTGCACTCCCTGGCCACAGCAGAGAGCTGGCCTGGAAGAGGGACAACCGGGACAGAATCCGGCACCCCGACCGGGACTAGAACCCGGTGTGCCGGTGCCGCAAGGCGGAGGATTAGCCTAGTGAGCCCCGGCACCGGCCGGCTTCCTTCTTTAAGCGTTTGGGCTACACATCACAGTTGCATGCCTACCACGTATGGGTTTCCACAGTTTATGTGCAGGAAACAAAATATGTAAGATACAACCTCTTCCATATTGATGGCATATACTGTACTTTCTTCTGCTCAGAATTGCATTCTGTTTACTTTGGTGCCGGTGCAGTACACCGTGTGCCGAGTTGAAGTTACCTCCAAGTGACTTTTGCTAAGTCCTGACCCTTTGCTTATTAGCATCAGTTAACAACAGCATATGGACCACACTTAAAGCACGGTTTGCTTTTGTTTTAATTTGGGAGTGTTTCAAGTCCAGCTTCGCACCATTATTTACCCCTTGGCAGCTCCATAACCAGCGAGCAGTAATTCCCTTATCTGCGGGCTGTTTAATGCTTAGAGCACCACCCTGGGAGCAGTAGAGTAAGGCCTTTCCCCAGATGCCATGTTTTAAGACCTTCAGCGGGAAAGATATGCACTATGTGAAATTTATTTTGATTATTTTTAAGTCAGGATTTGGCCTTCTTCTTCAGAAATGAAACAAGCAAAAAATAAACAAGTGCCCTCTGGCTTTCTGCCTCTTGCATTTCTGGCTCTGGGCCATGTGATCATCTCATTTGTAGTTTTCCAGGCGGACAGCAAAGGTTAGGAACTGGCAAATGTGGCTTCAACAGCAGATAAGCACGTCAAGTCTGTGTCAGGAATGATGAAGCCTGCTGGAGAAACTGCCTTTTATTTATTTATTTATTTCCTTTGTAAAGTAACCCGTTCCACGGAGCATAGCTGGCTCTTCCTTCCTCTGCCATCCTTTGCACGGTTCTCTTTGAGAGCTCCAGGTCCAAGAAGGCGCCAGACTTCCTTGCCTGGGGTTCTGATGCCTACAGGTAATTATGCTGAAAGCCCGCAGGAGTAGATCTGATTATGCTAGCATGCATTATGCATGCCAGAGCAGAAGGGTTTTGCTGGAAAGAGTCACTGCTAAGATATGATTTGCATTTTTTACTAGATACTTTTCTTGGGTCTTTGAGGACAAACATGTTAAGGACTCCTTTGTGTGTCAACACAAAACGGTTCATCTGTGGGCTGGAGGCCATTGCTTTGAAATTAGCCTAGCTTTTGCTACAGGGCCGGGACCATGTATGTTTGGAGCTGTTAGGGTGAAGACGCAAGACGACTTGTAGGGCAACCCTATCTGTCTTAAAAATAACATTGCTACCTTAAGACCAAATGTCGTCCATAAGTATTTGGAATTTAAACCATTTACTCCTAATTCTAAAAAAAAAAAAAAAAAAAAGTGCAACTCCCCCGCCCCGCCCCAGGCCCTCACCCTGTTAGGGCCAAAGAATGTGCTTACTTGACCTACTGAATCGTCCAGTACGGTGAGCATCCACGTTAGTCATCTCTAGCTAGGGTTCCCAGGGCCAAATAATAGGGGTGGCCTCCTGTCGCGAGCTGGCGGCGCCAGAGTCACTACCTAACGCTGGGTGGCCGTGCCCTTCGCGGTGCATCGGGAGGCAGGCTAGGCCGGGTGCGAGCGGCTGGCACCGCGCCGGGCACGCTCCCCGCAGGCCTGGCCTAGCCGTTGTCCGCTGGATTTAACGCTGAGCTGAGCCGCACCTTACATACTGCTTTCGAAGGCGACGGCCGGGTCAGGCGAGGCAACGCGAGCCTGGACGCTTGGAGGAAAAAAAACAAAAAACACACAAGCCTTAGCAGCTCAGCGCTCGGTCACTCGTAGCCGGAGAGCCCGGGAAGCGCGGCGGGGGCATCCTGCTCGCGACCCAAGCCCGCACCCGGCCGCGTCCCGGACAATGCCACCGCCGCACGGCCCGACTACAACTCCCGGCGTGCTCTTCCCCTGCTCGTAGAGCCAGTGGCCCGGCGTGCACCGCGCCGGCAACCTGACAGCAGGGCGTGCGGCCCAGCCCGCTGTGCACCCTACAAGGGATACTGGCCTTCCCCGTCTTCCTCGTGTGTCCCTCTTTATCCCAACTGTTTGGGATTCGGCCCTTCGAGTGGAAAACAAGCTCCTTAATTCAATCTCTTAAACTCAGAGCTAGCCAATAAAGTGAGCGGAATAAGATCACGTGACAGTAGCGGGGCGGTGCTTCGGCTGCTTCCTGATCTCTATGGTTCTCCGCCGTTCGCTAGAGGGCGTGTGGTACACTGGAGGACTCCCTACATTCTTCCTCCATTACCTCACTGCCTCCGGTGACTGCTGGGATACCGGAGGACTCGGGTCCCGGCTCGACTCAGTCCTCCAGCCTCCCGGGGAATACCTCTAGTTCTTCCCGGCCACCGCCGCCGCCCCGCCGCTTCCTCCTCCGCCCGCCCGCCGGCCCCCTACGCCCCGCCCCGTCCGCGCCGCGCGTCCGGCCCGCTCGCGGGCCCACTTCTCTCGGGAGCCCCCACCCAGGCGCATGGCTCCATGAAGCAAGAGGAGGAGGAGGCAGAGCGCGAGAGGTCCCGTCCGCCCCGGCCGCGTCTGGGCCAGGAGAAAAGGTGGGAAACTCGGGCTGCGCCGCGCCCTCCTCCTCGGCCGCCGCCGAGCCGGGCCTCCCTCAGGCCGCCGCCGCGCCCGCCGGGCCGCGGCGGGGTCTCGAGTGGCTCGGCGGCGTCCGGGGCGATGTCCCGAGGCGACGTCCCGGGGCGGCGTGGGGGAGGGGCCCTCGGCGGCCGTGAAAGGCGGCGGGCGGGGCCTCGGCCGCGTGTCCCGGCGGAGGGCGAGGGGGGTCGGGGAGGCACGGCCGGCGGGGGGAGCGGGCGGCGAGGCCGGGCTCCCGCCCCTCGCCTGCACTCCCTCCAGGAAACGGCGTCGGGTGTGTGCAAAGTTTGGTGGTCTCCGGCGCCGCCTGGCGGCCCCCACCCCCGAGTCCCGCCGCCCCCTCCCCCGCCGGCGGCGGAATTCCACCCCCGCGGCTCGGCCGCAGCTGCTCTACCCGTCGCCCTGGGGTCCGGCAGACGCCCCCCGCGCCCCCTTGTTCTCCCCACCTCTCACCCTTGGCCTCCGCCTGCTGTGCCCCCCCCCCGTTCCGGCCTCGCCTTTTCCCCCCCTCGGCTCCGGGGCGCCCTTCTCTTGCCTAACTCCACACGCGCGCTTTCTCTTCCTCTCGTCTTCCCAGCCGCACCCGGAGCCCCCGTCCCCTCCGATCCCTGCACCTGACACTCGTGGGGCTTTATCCTCGTCTCCTCCCCGGGCTATGGATTGTGCCCTCCCTCTCCTGCCCTCCTCCGTTCCCTGTCCTGATCTGAACTCCTGTCTGTGCCCCGCTCCCTCGCCCTTATCCCTGTGGGCCTATCCTCTTTCACTGCCCTCTCCTAGGATAGAGTGGGTGGGGCCTGGAGAGTCCTGTTTACATCTTTGGGAATAGCCTAATCCTGTAGTTCCCGGGGCCTGGAGAGTTGGTGAAGACGGAGAGTCAGGATGAATGGCTCTCACCATCGCTTACCGCGTTTTCCCGGCTTTAGCATCATGGTCTGCTGTCCAGTAATTCCTCAGTACTCTCTTGACAGAGTGTTGGGGAGTCTGTCTGTTTTCTGAAACCAGTGGGAGAGCCTGGAAATGGTATATCCCGGCCCCAGAGCGAGTCTCGGCCCAGATTGGTGTGTGTGGGGGGAGCTGTGCCGAGTGTCTCACGTTCAGGTTCCACAACACCCATGACGTTCAGTGTCCTGCCTTGGTGATGGCCCCAGGGCGCGGGACTGCTGTGGCTGCCACATGTGTTTTTGTTTGTTTGTTTGTTTGTTTTTAAGTGCGGATAACTAAAGTAGCCACCAGCATTGCTCTATTGCGATTTTTCTGAAATCGCATCCCTGCCTTGGCACCATAGATTGTGTTTGTTCATTTGCACCTGTATTTCCATCTCAGGTACAGGAAGAAGGAATGGGATCGGAAGGAAGAAAGTTCATTCCAGAGACAAAATAGCTCCTCCCCTCCTGTGTGGTAGCTGTTCCTGTGGCAATACATACTCTGTGCTTTCAGTGAGTACTACCTCGGATGCGTGGAGAACAGAGTTTTGTTGCTGCTTTTGGTGTTTAGGCCTGTGTTTGGATTTTAGAATGCAGGGGTGCTTTGTTCTTTTTTCTTTTTTTAATTATTTTTATTTATTTGAGAAAGGCAGAGTTACAGAGAGAGACAGAGATCTTCCGTCTGCTGGTTCACCCCCCAGATGGCCAAAGCAGGGAGTAATGTAGGTGTGTAGGGACAGGTTTGTTTCCCTGACCTAGCTGGTGTTGTGGTGCAGCTTCATTCTCTGGTGCTTGAAGTCGGCTGCCCAGCCTTCCCAGGTTACTCACTCCTTGAAGACAACCAAAGAGGCTGTCTTAACTCCTCAGCTAATTCACTTGGTGCAACTCCTGATCATGGTCCTGGTGGCTCTCATCCCCGTGGTTTTAGCCTTCTCAGACCTTGGGAACATTTCACCCTCGATCCACGATGGTGAGATTTTCTTGAAAACTCCATCACGGATTTGAAAATAAGGAAGATTCTGTGTGTTGAGTTCAAATGAAGTTCTGGGGGGAAAAAATCACTGCTATGCTCCCTTGATCCCGTGCCCCCCATAGAACGATAGTAAGAGTGTGTCTTATCTCTCATGTAACTCCCCAGCCCCTCAAGCGAGCAAGGCTGCTGGCAAATGTGTTCATTGTACAGATGAGAGAACCAAGGCACAGAGAGATTTGGCACTTGGCTGAAATCCCACAGAAAAGGGAGGAGGGAAGAAAAAAAGTTTTGATTCTTGTGTTTGTGTTTTTCTTTGACATGAGAGTATATAGTTCTGTGAATTTTTTAGATATATAAATCTGAAAAGTAATTGTGAGAGTAGATCTGCATTTGGCAGAGATGTCCACACATTAAGTCTTTTGGGGAATATGTGTTTTTGTGCATGCACATGCATGTTTGTGCCAGGGTTTCAGAAATAGAGCACTGATTATTTGGAATGGTTACCCGAATGGTTGTGAGTTTTTCATATGACTATTTCCTGGAATAGTTCCCTAAGTAGGCCAGAATTATAGCTCGGGTGCCATTTCAGTGCCCATATGTAATTATTAAATTGGATTTCAACCCTGTGTCACAAAGGAGACAAGAGCCTGTAGCAGTTGGAGGAGGGCTGGGTTGGAGCTGATATCTGGACCCTGAGTGATAATAGTAGATGCAGAGACCCCTTTTTCCTTTGGCTCTTTCCTACCTCCTTATGGTTGCAGGTTCCACTAAGCTGTTTGGAGGTTAGTCTTCAGCAGGTTTCTCTGAATTTGTTTTTCCATCCCCTGACTTTTCTAGAGATACTTTAATCCAGTTACTGTTTGAACTCTACTTTGACAGAGTAGTAGCGTTAGTTAGTATTCAATATGTGTTGAGACTTCTACAATAGTAGCACATGTAGCAGGCTCAGTCTCCTCTTGGTATTTCTGTAAGTGTGAGGACTGAGCACACTAGAACTCCTGCAAATCTCAGCCCAGTTTTCTTTGTTTTCTGGCATTTCAGAATGAAAAGGAGCAGTGGCTGATTTATTAGAAGCCATTGCTCTCCAAAGAGGAAAAACAGCAAGGTCATTGGCATACTAATCCCACGTTGATAATTTGCTCTTTTAGACTACGATGTAGTTGTTAATAGAGCTGTATTAATGAGAGCATTTATTTCTCAAGAAATTGTCGAAACTCGACGCTATGTTATTTTTATAACCAACTTGTATTAGTCGAGTGTAGCAGTGGCATTACTAGTAGCAGACACTTAATAAATAGTGGTTATATGCCAGAGAGCTACCAGGTCCTTTTCATGTCTCACTCATTACTCATTGAGTGCTCACAAGTAACCCTCTGTGTTAGCAAGAGCACAAGTCCACAGAGACGTGGGAATTAGCTTCCGTCTGTGTAGCTGGTGTGTGGCGAGTCAGAGCTAGGATCTGAGCTGCAAGCAGCAGTGACACTGTAACCCCAAAGCCTAGGCTCTATCCTCTGAAGCTGGGAGCTGCTCTGGGGGAGATGCCAGCTTCTTTTCAATGGGCTGAGTAGCCTGGGAAGGGACCCCACAGTGAGGGAGGGAGGCCTGTATGCTGAGCGAGGCACATCGGTCAGGGCGCCTTCACGTTCTTGTCTCGGTGCTGGCCATGGTGCCATGTTCATAAGCATCGAAAGTGGTTCTTATTAAGGCAGACATTGTGATACAGTGTGTTAAAGTCACAGTTGGGAACACTGGCATCCCACATGCAAGTGCTAGTTCAAGTCCCAGCTTTCCCCCAACTTCGATTCACCTTCCTACTAATGCCCCCAGAAAGGCAACTTAGGATGGTCTTTATTCTCTGCCAACAACACGGGAGAACCAGATGGAGTCCCAGCTCCTGGCCTTGGCCTGGCCCAGCCCAGCTATTGCTGGCTTCAGGGAGTGAACCAACAAATGGAAGATCTACTCTTTCTCTCTGGGTCTCTTGTGCATTCCCTCTCTGTCTCACTGCCTTTAATCCCTGAAATCCTCCATTGTCACTCCAGTGGTAGCTCTTAAAGTGCTGCCATTCAGAAAGAACAAAAAATTCTTCCCAAGAGTGCTTCAGAGCGAGCTGTTAAGGAAAGCCTTGAGCCACTGGACATGAAGTGGCACCTGAGGCCGGGTCCAGGGCTGACCACTTAACAGTGTGTTTATTTATTTGTTTAAGATTTATTTTTATTTATTTGAAAGAGTTAGAGGGAACGAGAGAGAAAAATAGATCTTCCATCCTCTGTTTCACTCCCCAAATAACTGCAACAGCCAGCACAGGGCCAGGACTAAGCCAGGAGCCAGGAACTTCATTTAGGTCTTCCCATGTGGGTAAAGGGGCCTGAGCATTTGGGCCTTCCACCACTGATTTCCCAGGCACATTAGCAGGAAGTTGGATTGGAAATGGAGCAGCCAGGACCCAAACTAGGGCTCATGTGGGATGCTGGTTTCACAGGTGGCAGCCTTAGCCCACTACACCACAATACCGGCCCCTGCAATGAATAATTATTAAGCCATCCTTTGATTTGGGCCAAAGAGACTTGATCAGCATAGGTACTTGTAATCCATTCACCCTCAGAGCCTGGAACACTTCGTAGTCAGCACCTCACAGCTGAACCAAAGAGCTGGAATAGGTTGTGCTTATTTAAAAAAAAAAAAATAAAAAAAAAAAGCAAATTCTGTGCTACCCCAGGTACATACTGCTGTTCTACCCAAAGTAGGTTTGGTTGTGTTGGCTGTCTAGTGCATCTCGGTGTTTGCGGAGGATGATGTTGGATGAAAATCATTCTGGCTTTGGCCATGGCTGTGGGTGAGATTCCACGCCTAGAGCCACCGGGGCCTCTACTTACCTCCCACTGCTTGGGTGTGAGGAGTTGAAAACCAGGCCCCGACAGGTGCAAAAAAAAAAAAAAAAGGCAAACTCAAATAGAGTTCTGAGGAGCTCTGTAGGTGAGTTTGGTGACAGCAGGGTTTTGTGTGGGATGCGTGTACTGTATGTAGGCCATCGTGTTGCTGGAACTTGTGAGTGCCCTTGTAAGCTGCGTGGCAGAGCAGAGGAACAGTCGTGGAGTGGCCTTTGTTCTGGACCTTTGTGACTGCTGTGTGTTGCTGGCGAGGAGGGCAGGTCCCATAAGGACAGGGAGAGGGAGGACTGAGCAGCATACCTGAGGGCCTCCTTTATTTGTTGCCTGCAAGGCTGGGAGGCCTTAGGCTGTTGTGGTGTTCCCCCAGCGCACCGAGTGTGTCTCCCTCTGGTAGAAACACAGTTGTAGCTGGTTTGTTCTCATTGACTGTTCTAAAGTGGATGAACAGTAGGAAGGGGAGAGTACTTCTCATTCCTCAGGGGTCCTGGAGCTTAGCCTTGCAAACCAAAGGCCTGCACGGGTCTCCATAGTGTGGGGTTTACCTCTCTGATCCCACTTACTGCAGAGGAACCAACTTCAGGTCACTTGAACTATGGTCAGCAGCCATGGTTGGGGTTCTTAGGAGATGTGGGGGAAGAGTGTGGACAACTGGTGTGGTACAGAGCTTTCAGCTGGTGAGACACATGCTCAGTTTGTTTTCTGAAATGCTGTTATTCTGAGGGGTTATGCCATACTCTGAGAAGCCGCCAGCCAAGCTGTCGTGGCACCAGCGACTTTTGGTCATGTGGGGCAGTCCTGGGAACGGAGTCTGGAGCTGCTCTGAGGTAATGAGATGCCTGCTCTGTTAGAGTAGGGTCGAATAGTCACATACCTAAAGTTGATGGATTTATTAGTGGTTGATGTTATTTGCTGCCAGCATCCTGGTTTACTCACATTCTTTTCCTGTAGTTCTGTTAATATTTGCTTTTTGCTGGTAGATAAGTAAAGCAATTTAGTAGGAGGAGGTGGGGAGGGGATAGAAGGAGCTGTATAGTGAGCACAGATGAAATAAGAGTGTGTGTTGAAATTGTTACAGCTAGGTGCCAGTTCATTATATTCTGTTCTTTTTGTGTTTGAAATTTTGCATAAATGTAAGTTGATAGAATAATTGTTTTTTAAAAAAAAGTTTTATTTGTTTGAAAGCCAGAATGACAGAGAGGTGTCTTTCACCTGCTGGTTCACTCGCAAATGGCTGCAACGGCCAGTGCTGAGCCAGACTGACACCAGGAAGGAGCTGGATTAGAAGCAGAGCAGCCAGGACTCAAACTGGTGCTCTGATTCAGGTTGGCAGCAAAGCAAGTGGCAATCTAACCTGTGGTACCACAGCACTGGCTCTGGAATAATTTTTTTTTAAAGATTTATATACTTATTTGAAAGCCAGAGTTACACAGAGAGAGGAAGAAACAACCTCCCCAAGTGGCTGCAATGGCAGGGGCTAGGCCAAGCTGAAACCAGGAGTCAGGAGCCTCTTGTGGATCTCCCATGAAGGACTTGGGCCATCTTCTGCTGCTTTTCCAGGTGCATTAACAGGGAGCCGGATTGGAAGTAAAGCAGCTGGACTTGAACTGGTGTTCATATGGGATACTGGTATTGCAGGCAGTGGCTTTGCTCGCTGTGCCACAATACTGGCCCCCTGGAATAAATTTTTTAAGTGAATGACTTCTAATTTTTTTTTTTTTACAGGCAGAGTTAGACAGTGAGAGAAAGAGAGACAGAGAAAGGTCTTCCTTCTGTTGGTTCACCCCTCAAATGGCTGCTACGGCAGGTGCGCTGCGCCGATCCGAAGCCAGGAGCCAGGTGCTTCCTCCTGGTCTCCCATGCGGGTACAGGGCCCAAGCACTTGGGCCATCCTCCACTGCCCTCCCGGGCCACAGCAGAGAGCTGGACTGGAGGAGGAGCAACCGGGACAGAACTGGTGCCCCAACCAGGACTAGAACCCAGGATGCCGGCGCTGCAGGCAGAGGATTTTGATATAGAAGATCTCTTACTTTTGCCATTGGAAACTACTAGTTGAATTGTTCACTTAGTGGGCTCCAGAGAAATGCTTGGGCCTAAAAAGCCACCAGTTGACATTCATATTGAATCATAGTTTTGGGACTTGTTGTGTGTGAGCATTAGCTGTCCACTGAAAAAATGCTCTGCTGCAGATGGGTGCCTGTGTGGTGTGCAGCCTGTCTTTTCGCCTTGAGGGCATTTGCCTCTAGCTCCGAGGATCCCTTCTGTTGCTCTGTTATTGGGGTGTCATCTGTCAGGTTGCTTTGACTGCCTGTGCCTCTGGGGTCTTTTCCAAGAAGTCTTGCCTGTGCCTATATCTTGCAAGGTTTCTCCAATGTTCTTTAATAATTTGATGGTGTTGGGTCGTAGATTTAGATCTTGAATCCATGTTGAGTGGATTTTTGTGTAAGGTGTAAGGTGTAAGGTAGGGGTCTTGCTTCATGCTTCTGCACATGGAAATCCAGTTTTCCCAGCACCATTTATTGAATAGACAGTCCTTACTCCAGGAATTGGTTTTAGATCCTTGATCAAATATAAGTTGGCTGTAGATATTTGGATTGATCTCCGGTGTTTGTATTCTGTTCCATTGGTCTATCCATCTGTTTCTGTACCAGTACCATGCTGTTTTGATTACAACTGCCCTGTAGTATGTCCTGAAATCTGGTATTGTGATGCCTCCAGCTTTGTTTTTGTTGTATAAGATTGCTTTAGCTATTCGAGGTCTCCTGTGTCTCCATATGCATTTCAGCATCATTTTTTCCAGATCTGAGAAGAATGTCTTTGCTGTTTTGATTGGTATCGCATTGAATCTATAAATTGCTTTTGGGAGAATGGACATTTTGATGATATTGATTCTTCCAATCCATGAGCATGGAAGATTTTTCCATTTTTTGGTATGTCAGGTTGATGATTTTCTCAGCTAAGAACCCCTGAGTTGTCGCATTCTTAGGACGTTTACGTTTTCCTTCAGGTGTGGTATAGTGTGATGAAAATAGAAAAATTGTCTGTGGCCCTTCTCTGTAATTCTAATTCTAATTCTTTGAATTCTGGGCTCTAAAGGCAGAGCTTTTTAAGACTCCAGCTCACTGGAGAGAGTTAGAGTGAGGTGAAAACTTAGGTCTCCAATGCCTGTCCTGGACTCAAGTAACGTGGTGGAGGGGAATGTGGGAGTCTTAGAATTTTCAGGGGATGGCTGACTTGTTTTTGTTTTTGTTTTTTTTTGTTTGTTTGTTTGTTTGTTTGTTTTTGACAGGCAGAGTGGACAGTGAGAGAGAGAGACAGAGAGAAGGGTCTTCCCTTGCCGTTGGTTCACCCTCCAATGGTCACCGCGGTTGGCGTGCTGCGGCCGGCGCACCGCGCTGATCCGATGGCAGGAGCCAGGTACTTATCCTGGTCTCCCATGGGGTATAGGGCCCAAGCACTTGGGCCATCCTCCACTGCACTCCCGGGCCACAGCAGAGAGCTGGCCTGGAAGAGGGGCAACCGGGACAGAATCCGGCGCCCCGACCGGGACTAGAACCCGGTGTGCCGGCGCCGCAAGGCGGAGGATTAGCCTAGTGAGCCAAGGCGCCGGCCCTGACTTGTTTTTGATATTCTTTTTCTTGGTCCAATTTTTGGTGGTAAAAATTCTATAAACTATTAAGTTATTTTAGAATGCCCTAGAATGAAATTTGCCTGTTTATTATTCCCTTAGGAAAGGGACTGAATCCAATGGACCTGACTAGCAGGTGTCATCCTTGTGGTTTGGTGAGAGGACCCAGGTCTTGTGGAGTCTGGTAGATGGATTGTGGTCCAGGTTCTCTCTCTGCCACTTGATGGCCATGTGGCTCTGGGCAAGTTCTCATGCTGATTACTCTTGAGGTTCCTTCTGTTAAAAAGGATGGTAGCACTGTCTGCCTTGCTGAGAGGTTTATAGAGAATTCAGTGAAATCCTGTTTGAAAAGTACCTCTTCTGGGCAAACACTGCCCTCAGCCTGCAGTGCGCAGCCAAGTCTTATTCCTCTGGGAGTTGGTGTGAGCAGTGGAACAAGACCCCAGATAGTAAAAGCAGCTAAATGTAGTGATGTTTAACCATATGCCAGACACTGTGCTAAGCTCTTTACATGTAGTAAACTCATTTAATCCTCTGAGTTCTCCCAGGAGGCAAGTACTGTTGTTATTCTTGTTTTGGGAAGCTTGAGTCAGAGAGAGGTTAAGCTGTAGGAACTAAAATTTGAACCCAGGCCACCTGGAGCTAGAGGCAGCATTTTTTTTTAAAGATTTATTTATTTGAAAGTCAAATAAATAAACAGAGAGAGAGGGGAAAACAGAGAGAAGAGATCTTCTATCGCTGATACATGCTCCAAATGGTCTTAATGGCCAGAGCCGGGCTGATCGGAAGCCAGGAGCTGCTTCTACCAGATGTCCCATGTGGGTGCAGGTGCCTAAGCACTTGGGCCATCCTCCACTGCTTTCCAGGCCATCCTCCACTGCTTTCCCAGGCACCTTAGCAGGGAGCTGGATCTGAAATGGAGCAGCTGGGACTTGAGCTGTTGTAGAGGCAGCATTTTTTTTTTTATGTTATATTATTTATTTTGAAAGAGAGTTACAGAGAGAGGTAGAGACAGAGAGGTCATCCATCCACTGATTTACTCCCCAAGTGGCCGCAATAGCCAGAGCTGGGCCGATCTAAACCCAGGAGCCAGGAGTTTCTTCTGGGTCTCCCACGGGGATACAGGGACCCAAGCACTTGGACCATCCTCTACTGCCTTCCCAGGGATTGGAAGTTGAGCAGGTGGGACCCAAGCCAGCACCCATATGGGATGCCAGTGCTGCAGGCTAGGGCTTTAACCCACTGCGCCACAGTACTTGCCTGAAGCAGCATTTTTAACCAAGACATTTGGCTCCTCTTTTAAGATTTATTTTGGTAGCTGGCGACGCGGCTCACTAGGCTAATCCTCTGCCTTGCGGCGCCGGCACACCGGGTTCTAGTCCCAGTCGGGGCGCCAGATTCTGTCCCAGTTGCCCCTCTTCTAGGCCAGCTCTCTGCTGTGGCCAGGGAGTGCAGTGGAGGATGGCCCAAGTCCTTGGGCCCTGCATCCCATGGGAGACCAGGATAAGTACCTGGCTCCTGCCTTCGGATCAGCGCGGTGTGCCGGCCGCGGTGGCCATTGGAGGGTGAACCAACGGCAAAGGAAGACCTTTCTCTCTGTCTGTCTGTCTCACTGTCCACTCTGCCTGTCAAAAAAAAAAAAAAAAAAAAAAAAAAAAAAAAAAAAAAAAAAAGAAGCAGCAGCAAAAGGGCCAGAAGTGGAGCCAGGCACTCACATATGGGACAAGCAACAATTTAATAGCTGTGCCAAATAGCCACCCTGGGCCACTGTGGTGATGTGAGTGAGTAAAGTTGCCACATGTGATGCCAGCTGTTTCATGTCCCAGTTGCTCTGCTTCCAGTCCGGCTCCCTACTAGTGGTCTGAGAAAGCAGTCAAAGATCCAGATGAAGCTCCTGGCTTCAGCCTGGCCCAGCCCAGACCATTGCAGCCATTTATGGTAGTGTACCAGAGGATGGAAGATCTCTGTCTCTCCCTCTCTCTCTAACTCTCTCAAATAAATGACTAAATCTTTAAAAACAGAACGAACACCCATCCTTATTTTTAAAAATGTTTATATTTCGCTCAACATAAAGTAACAAGTTGTTGATGTAGAAATAATGGCATTACAAATGAGGTGTGTAAATATCAATTTGATATAACATGTTGTAGAATTGTGGCATAGCAGGTTTAACTGCTGCTTGCAATGCCAACATCCCATATCGGAGTGTCAGCACAAGTTCTGGCTGTTCCACTTGTGGTCTAGTTCACTGCCAATGTTCCTGGGAAGGCAATGGAAGATGTTCCAAGTACTTGAGCCTGTCCCACCCCTGTGGGAGACCCAGATGGAATTCCAGGCTCTTGGTTTTGGCCTGGCCCGGCCCTGGCTGCTGCAGCCATTTGGGGAGTGAATCAGCAGATGAGAGATCTCTCTATCTCTGTGTATTTCCCTCTCTGTCAGTCTGCCTTTGAAATAAATAAATAAATCTTTGTTTTTTTTAATAAAAGTTACAAGATTTACAACCAAAATACTGTATTGTGGAGCAGTGCCTAAAAAGATAATTATATGTTCCATATCCAAATCACGGGGGAATTTATTTAAAATTTAAAATAAATGTTTGGCCTAAATAGCAACATAAATATATAATTACTTGAAGGAAAAAAATCTGTGTAATTTTCTCAAGTCAGCAGGATTTATAAACTGGTACTATCTACTTTGAAATAACTAGGATCTCTTTTCCTGATTCTATTGAAGGCTGATTCTTCAGAAAATACACACAGCACTTTGGTAATTTATAGATTTACATTTTTACCTTTGGCTTAAAAACCGGGTCGGCGTTGTGGCATCATGAGTTAGAGTTGTGGTGTAGCTGGTTTGAGTCCCAGCTGCTCCACCTCCCATCCAGCTCCCTGCTAATGGATCTGGAAAGGCAGCAGAAGATGGTCCAGGTCTTTGAGTCCTTGAACCTGTGTGGGAGACCCAGAGGAAGCTCCTGGCTTTGGCCTGGCCCAGCTCTGGCCGTTGTGGCCCTCTGGGGAGTGAACCAGCAGATAGAAGACTTCTCTATGTGTTGCCACCTCTCTGACTCTTACGTTTCAAATAAATTTTAAAAACTAAATAAATATCTTGAGAAAAGAAAAACAGTATAAAAACATCCCTTTCTGCCCTTCACATCAACAGCTCGGGTGCTGGGGCTACATTTTGCTAAGCTGGGTGGCTTTGTGTCTGGCTGCCTGGCTATGACAGGGCAGAAATGGCTACCTCACAAAAGGACTGTGAAGCTGGAGTCATTTGTCTGAATCAGTGTTTCTACTAGGTTGCAGTTTCTGTAAATGGGGTCTTGAGAGGATAGAGAAATGTGTAGAGATCAGAATTGAGTTTAGAGGGGAACCAAGGAAATGAGTGAGGGGCTGGGGAGGGGAAGCTGTGAAGACAGGGGAGCCTTGAGTTAGGAGATGTGCCCCTTTCAGAGTGGGCACTAGCTGCCTTTCGTCTGTCTTCTCTCCAGCCCAGGCCTATAGAGCGTATAGCTAGACATAAGGTAGTGCAGAAGAGAATGCTGAAAGGATGTGGCTGACAAGGAAAAGCCTGAAAGTTCCTCTGGAGTTCTTTAAAAACAGGATGGCTCAATTTGGAGCCTCGACAAAAGGTAGAGAAAGCACCAGGCGGTGTGTGACAGGTCGAGGGCAGTCTTCCAGTCAGTTTGAAATGTCCCTACTTGGCTTCACACTGGCTGTCGCCTACCCCTTGCTTCTTCCCTGAGGAGTGCTGGGCGAAGAGAGCTGTTTGTTGCTTTCCTCCATCCGTGGTGGCCATATGCTTTCTGGAAAGTACAAAGTCATTTCCCAGAGGAAACGTCGGGGAGGATCTCTGGTCTGGAACTTAGTGTCTCTTGTGGCCTTCCTAGGGTGGGTTCTTTCTGACTGTGGGACCTGGAAGATGGACTGGGAAAGAGCATTGATGACTCCTACCTTGTCCACACAGATTCTTTTGATGCTTTTGTTCTCGCCTTTTCACTAACAACTCAAATGTACGCTTACCTGTGCCCTTTTTGCTTAGGGTTCTGCAGCATTCCAGACCTCGAGCATCGCATCAGGATGGGAAAAAGACGTTGTGTCCCTCCACTCGAGCCCAAGTTGGCAGCTGGCTGTTGTGGGGTCAAGAAGCCCAAACTCTCTGGAAGTGGAACGCACAGTCACGGGACCCAGTCCACAACTGTCCCCGGCTCTAGTTCAGGACCTCTTCAAAACCACCAGCATGTGGACAGCAGCAGTGGACGGGAGAATGTGTCGGACTTAACTCTGGGGCCTGGAAATTCTCCCATCACACGAATGAATCCCGCATCGGGAGCCCTGAGCCCTCTCCCCCGGCCCAATGGAACTGCCAACACCACGAAGAATCTGGTGGTGACTGCAGAGATGTGCTGCTACTGCTTTGATGTACTCTACTGTCACCTCTATGGCTTCCCACAGCCTCGACTCCCTAGATTCACCAATGACCCCTAGTGAGTAAGCCGGTGCTGGGGACAGCATCGAGGGTGTGGTAGCGTATTTAGGGGGCCATTCTTTTGGAGGGCCAGCTGCTTATAAAGGTTTAATGTCCTTTGAGCAAAGGATGATGGGAAGAGAATGATGAGAAATGTCCAGATGGTGTTAAGAACATTGAGTGGATAAGTAATGGTAGGGGTCGAGGTTATGTTTGGATGAGGGGGATGTAGATTTGCTGTTGATGTTCTCTTCTGTTGATTCACACAGCAGTGGGTAGGTCATCGAATGTCTAGATTTGGGGACATCACACCATCTGGGAACAGTACAAGTGAATTGGTGTCTGAGGGCTGGGCTAGAAACTAGGAGCTGTCATTCATTGGGAACACTTATTTTTTAAAAGTTACTTATTTGAAAGAGATGTAGAGAGAAAAGGGGGGAGAGAGAGGCAGAGAGATCTACCATCCACTGTTTCACTCCCCAAATGGCTGCAGTGGCCAGAGCTGGGCTAATCTAGAGCCAGGAGCCTCTTCCGGTCTCCCACATGGGTGGCAGGGGCCCAAGAACTTGGGCCATGTTCCATTGCTTTCCCAGGAACATTAGTGGGGAGGAGCAGCTGGGACTCAAACCAGCGCCCTTATGGGATGCCGATGTCGCAGGCAATGGCTTTACATGGTACTTCACAGTGCCAGTTCCTTTTATTTTTATTTTACGATTTATTTGTTTGAAAGGCAGAGTGACAGAGATCTTCCGTCTGCTGGTTCACTCCGCAAATGCCTACAATGGCCGGAGCTGGGCCAGGCTGAAACCAGAAGCCTGGAACTCCATTCGGGTCTCCCACATAAGTAGCAAGGGTCCAGGCACTTGGATTGTCCTCTACTGCTCTCCTAGGCACATTAGCAGGGTGCAGGATCGGAAGCAAAGCAGCCGGGACTCCAGCTGGTGCCTCAGTTCTGGATGCCAGCATCACAGACAGTGGTCTCATCCACTATGCGTAATGCTGACCTCTGTGCCACTATTTTTAAATCGAGACTCTGCTTTTTGTCCCAAGCCCTCCAAAGGTATCCATGCCTTCAATGTATGTGAAGCATAAAGTGAAGAAGCTCATTTTCTTCTTCCTCTGAATTGGAAGCAGCTCTGAGCTCACTTTGAAGTGCATGGCTGCTTCATGATGTTCATTTTTAGGGGATGCCTTTGGAGCATTTATTGATCTAAAGCTCATTCCTCAGCTGTTGGTGCCATGTGAAGGGTGTGCAGACAGGGGCAGATAAGAAAAGGATTTGTTGAGTTGGCATATCACACACTGAAACCAATTAGTGATAGAGGGGAAGTTACTCCTGTTTGTGTCATGGAAGAAGAAATGGAGAAAAATGTGCTGCCCTTTTAAAGAAATATTGCTGTGTGATACCCTGTCAGAAAACTCTGAACCCTCCAGCTAGTGATTCAGCCTGTGTAAGACTGAGATGTTCCATGCGAGAAAGCAATCTATGTTTAGAGAGCTAGGTGGTGGTGGCCTTGGCCTTTAGGTCTGGACTGCTATGTTTAGGACTTTGTATTTCCATCATGAAGAGGTTTTTGAGTAGGTTTTAGGACAATACCTGGCTGGTGCTGGGGTTCTCTATTTGGAAGGAAAATGTGGGTCGGTGGGAGATCTCCTGGGAGTCTTTGTAACAATGAACAAAGAAGTAGATAACTTCAGGGGTGTGGTGGGATGTGGGATCTCAGGAAGAGGGGATAGCCCTGGCTGCTCTTTCTAGAACGGCTCTCACTGTCCATCTGACGTAGCTTAATGAAGCATGACTTTGGCCTAGAAATGGAAGTGGCAGCTGCTAAAGAGAAGCTTTCTTGAGAAGACACTTGTTTTTCTTTTCTGAAAACTTATAATCAGGAAATATTTGTAGTTGCCAGGAGCAGATGTAATTATGGGAATAGTGTGGGTATGCAGGTAGGTATGTCTCCATGAAAGATGGAGCTAGGAACCATGGCTGTCCATATAAGCAAGGTAAAGAAGACATGGAGAATTAGAAGACCAAGTTGAGCCCTAGGCAGAGGAAGAGGCAAATAGTACATAAATGCAGCGTGAAAGAGAATTAAAGCCGTCAGCACAGAACCCGGGAAAGCCGGCACTGAGAGCCTTTCTCCATGTCGTCTTGTAGAAGTCTCCTCTCTCTTTCTAGCCAGGAAGACTGAGTAGGGCCTTCAGATAGACAGAAATTCAGAAAAGTGTCCTTTTGAGCAGTGAAGGAAATGACCAAAGCCAAAAGGTTGTGTTCCTATCCGTGAATAATTTAGGGCTGGAGAATGTTTTTTGTTCTGCTTTTTTTAGTCCACTCTTTGTGACATGGAAGACAGGGCGGGACAAGCGGCTTCGTGGCTGCATTGGAACCTTCTCAGCCATGAATCTTCACTCAGGACTCAGGGAATACACGTTAACCAGGTAATAATGCCAGACATTAAGAACTGTGGCTAGTTTACTAGATTCAGACAAGCACCTGTGTCATCTAAGTGATATGTTTTGAGTGTTCTCTTCTTGGTAATCAGGAAATGCAAGGACTGTGATCTAGAATGAGTCACCTGCCAGTCCAAGCGTAGACAGTTAATAACACGGGGTTGTTGTTAACATGTTAATGTTGATGGATGATAGCTGTTCTTCACATGTCCCAGGATTCAGTAATCTGTGGGCTCTGTGGCACGTGGTCTTGGCTCCTAGCTCCAGAGCAGCCTCACTTATGTTTTCTGTCCCCCTCCAGTGCACTTAAGGACAGCCGATTTCCCCCCCTGACCCGAGAGGAGCTGCCTAAACTTTTCTGCTCTGTCTCCCTCCTTACTAACTTTGAGGATGCCAGTGATTACCTGGACTGGGAGGTGAGAACAGCCGCATTTGGAACTCTGCATCTCTCGTTGCATTTGGGTTCGGGTTAGTACATGGTAATGTATCTCCTTCATTGAGAGAGAGGGTATGAGAATGTGAAAGCTGAGTTTGGAATCCATTGTGGGCAACACGGGTGACAGAAAGGGCTGCTGTAGAAGGAGGAAGAGACAGAAATGTAAAGGCTTTCTTCTGTTTCTTCCTGATGCACCGTGTTCTGTAATCCTTCTCCCCCATCTGATAAGAAATGGGATGAAGAAAATATTTGAGGTCCCTCTTGGTGAGAGTGTCAGTGAAGTTTTTCATGAGGATTCCAATAAGAAGAGTCATGAACCCAGATAAAAATCTTGTGGCATGTTCATTGAATGAGATGGGTTTTATTGGGTGAGCTCTCTTTATTTAAGGTTTATTTATTTATTTGGAAGGTAGAGTTACAGAGAGAGGGAGAGATGGAGAAAGAGAGATCTTCTTTCCCCTGGTTCACTGCCCAAATGACCAAAATCAGGAGCTTCATCTGGGTCTCCACATGGGTGGCAGGGGCCCAAGTACTTGGGCCATCCTCCATTGCTTTCCCAGGCATATTATCAGGGAGCTGGATCAGAAGTGGAAAAGCCAGGACTTGAACTGGCGCGCATATATAGAATACTGGCAAGGTGGTGGTTTAACTCTCTATGCCACAATGCTGGCCCTGCGTGAACCCTTTGGAGAACTTATTTCTACAACCTTAACATTCTCAGAGAGATTGAGCTTTCCCTAAAGCTGAACTTTGTTTGGTTCCTGCCTGAGAGAGTCACAAAAAGCAGGAGGCTCTGCTGTTTGCAGACCTGGGTCCAGACTGGTTAGGGGACAGTGTCGATTCACAAGTGTATGTGGGTGACTGAAGTTCCATCAGAGTCAGTAAATACCGTGTACTTGGTTGTATTTTTCTATAGGTAGGGGTCCATGGGATTCGAATTGAATTCATCAATGAAAAAGGCGTCAAACGTACAGCCACATACTTGCCTGAGGTTGCTAAGGAACAAGGTGAGTCAGGCACATGAGATTTTAACCAACAGTGCGAGTCACAGTGGTGCCCAGTAATAAGGGCAGGAGAATGACGTGTTTCATCTTTCATCCCAACTATGACCAGGAATGAGTGTCTTCTTAACTAAAGCCTACCATATTCCTGTAGAACCAGGGGTAAGCTTCCAAAAAGATCTACAAGCTGGGAAAAGAAAAAGGGTAAAATGTCCCTTACTTGCCTGCTTTTTTCAAATACTTCCTTTCACTGAATAGTTTTATTTCTTGGCCCCTTGTACTCCATGATAATTGTGGCAAAACACCAGCAATCAGCCTGAGGTAGTATAAAGTTCATTATAAATGGACGTTGCCATTCTGATGATGAAATGACTAAATATACTTGGCAGAGGGCAAAACCTACTGATTTCATAGAACTCTGTGGTTACTGAGTTCTTAATGGGGAATTTAAGGGTAGCAAATAGATTGGGCAGATTTTCTCTTTCAAAGACTATCTAGAGAAACACCTTTAAATGTTGCTTGTGCATTCTTTGATATGTAACCTAGTTTTCTTTCTTTCTTGGAATTAGTCTGTTTTTGAAAATAATATGTGAAACACAATATTTCTTGGGTGTGAACCTGGAATAGCGAAAAATACCCAGTTAAGTATATCGATGAACTCGTTATGTGGAAAGCCATTGCCTTGTTCTCTTGTGGTTGTGTTTAGACCTTTTCAAAAGTGTGGATGTGGCATGAAAAGGAATCCACTCAGGTGGCCCTTTGGGGCCCTAAAGCTAACACACTCACAGGAAGACATACCGTAAGCTTTTTAACGGTGAAATGGGTAAATAACGAAAATACTTTTGCCATTTAAAATTGGTTGGAAAAATGAAAAATTTCTGTATCTAGTACAGTAACTTGGGTTTTTGTTTGTTTGATACGTTTGGTTTTACACTGTTAAAATTACGGGTAAGAACAACACAGCCAGAAAGGGACTGCTTCAAAAACTGTGGAAACGCGCATTAACTTTTAGTTCAACTTTGTGGCAAGTTCCCTCTCATATGTGTAAACAACTCTCTTGTCCTTCCTAAAGGAGAAGCTTCCTTCCTGCTCTCAGTTCTCTGTCATAGAAAACAGGACTCCTAGAAATTACCAGACTGAAGGAAAACCACACAAAGGAATATGAGCTACAAAATTTGAATTCCTCTCTTCCCACAGAGCAGCCCTGGGTACCGGCATTAGATCACCAGGCCAGTCTAAGTTGGGACTATGTTTGTTCCTAGAGAATTATACGGGGATAACATCTGACAGGAAGGATGCAGGAGCAGGGAGCCTGGGGACAGCCATTACGGCATGTGTCCGGCTGCCACCTCATGTCTCAGAGTCTCCACTGGACTGTCAGTGAGGCAGATGGGGCTCCAGGTACGTGGGGTTAGTGCCTAGGGCTTCCTCTGCCCCTAGCAGACTCTGCTGCTTTTTGAATCCCATTCCTCTTCCTGCACTGGCCACATGAAAGCATGTGCTACTCTTATGTGATTGTGTGCTGACCTCAGTGTGGCTTCTCTTCTCAGACTGGGATCAGATCCAGACAATAGACTCCTTGCTCAGGAAAGGTGGCTTTAAGGCTCCCATCACCAGTGAATTCAGAAAAACGATCAAACTTACCAGGTAAGTTGCTACCTTGATGTCTTTGCCATTTTAATTTAGCTGGGGTTGGATGGAGAATATTCTGGAGGGAAAGGAAAGGAAATATCTCTGCTAATGGTCCTATAGCACAGAAGTACAGATGAGGCTTAAGCTCTGAGGAGGCAGGGGCAGCAAAGACAGATGGACCAGCGTCCACAGCCAGTCTGGTGGCAGAGTTGGGGCAGGGGTGAGGCCTGCTGAGCAGGTCATGGGTATCTTTGCCAGACCTCTCTGAGAGGCTGAGGGGGAAGACTGGAGTTAGGAAAGAAGGCTCCCTGTGTACAAGTTCAGGGTCAGTTGAGGCACATGCCCTGACTACCTGTGCAGTCAGGTGGCAAGGGCTATAGGCGAGAGAGAGAAAATACTTTCTACCAAAAATAATAACGCCCCTGTTTGTGGACAGTACTTCATGGGGAGGCTGCCTAGTATCACAGAAGGCACATGAACTTGGGGTCTGAATCCCAGCTCAACCACTTGCTCACTGTGTGACCTGGGCCTGTTTGCTGTCGGTAAGATGTGAATGATAATACCTCAGGGTTGGTTTAGGATGTGGTAAGGTGATGTGGAGACTCTCTAGCCCAGGGCCAGGCAACATTGTAGATGATCAGTAGATGTCAGTTCTCTTCCCATCCCTATTAAAATTGGAAACTCAGGTTAGCTCCTGCAGGCTTCTGTTGGGCCCCTCCTCTATAAAATGCTGAATTATCATATACTAGCCTCACAGATCTGTTTGGAAGATAACCCAGTGTTTTTGAAATGCTTTGGATTCCAAAAATTTTAAAAACAGCAACAAAAAATGCTTCAAATACAAAGCATTATCATTATTATTATTATTACAATTTATTTGAACAGCCATTTCCCTGTCAAAATTCAGGAATAATCACCTTGCAGTGGAGGAGTGATTACAGTGGGAAAGAGATGGCTCTGGGTAAGGATTGTCACACCCAGCTCCTGTGGTCTGTAGTAGGCTCCATAGGTTTGTAACACCCCATGCTTCGCATCCTGACTCATGGCTCTTTCCAGAGCAAAGCCAAAGTGCTATGGAATCTGTTCTGATGACCCTGTGATATGGCATATTCATCTGGGGATTGAGACCTGTCCTATATAGCCCCAAGGATCCTTTAACCTGATTTCATCAGAATTTGACCCAGAATTAGGTATCTGTGCCCCTTTTAGTTATAATAACTTGTTTGTTGCTCTTTTGCAAATTGAGGTTGCATTTCTGTCAAATTTATCTCCTTTTAACCTGAAAGTAGATACACAGTTTACACTGGGTTTTGGTGCAGCCATCTTCCAATCTGCCACCCATTTAATTTGACCTTGACATTCTTCATCCAGACCCCAATAGCAGATTGCTTCCAGGCTGCTTATGATGAGCATATGTAGAGGTTGAAGGTGGGCTGTGCTGAAACACATTCTCAGGGTGAATCGTGATTGTGCTTTTTCATCTTGTTCATGTGTAATAACAACATTGTTTTCTTGTGCCGTCTTTCATTTTCTGTAAGTAAGATTGCTCTTGGTCTTCCATTTTATTCTTTCAAATGTGGAATAAGCTTTTGGTTTTCTCTAATGAGTGACTTTGCAAAAAGAAGTGTTTGGGTCCTAATAATACCCTTTCCTGTTTGCCTTGTACAGGTACCGAAGTGAGAAGGTGACAATCAGTTATGCGGAGTATATTGCGTCTCGACAGCACTGTTTCCAGAATGGCACTCTTCATGCCCCGCCCCTCTACAATCATTACTCCTGACACACGGCTGCATGACCAGTCCCACCCCCCTGTGGCCACCAATGGCTATGACATCATTGGAGCAGATGCCTCCTCTTCCTGGTCCAGTTACTTCTATTACTGCACCATTTTATGATGCTAGCTTCCGTTGCCAAGTCTGCCTCCCGCTGACAGAGGGGGTGGGGTTACACTGAATGAAACAGAACTTGAGGGGCCCAAGCCTTATCTCAGCCTTTCCTCAATATGGGGTTCCGTTGGATTGGGGCTCCTCCGTGACTAGTGAGAATTACTGTGGGGGTGCGGAAGACCCTTGGCTTGTGATTTGCCACATGTGTTGGCCATGTGCTGGAAGCTGGAGTTGATGATCCAAGAAGGCTTACCCCACACACGCCCCTGCAGCCTCCCCAGATCAAGTAGGTGTATTCCCCTTGGCAGTCTGGGCAACGGAGACCAACAAGAAACATTTTTAGGTTGTTTTAAATTCCTTTTTTTAAACTTCCAGTTTATTGCGTACCAAGAGTTGTTCACAACCTCCATGCTTCATAAGTGGACGCCATGTTAGGGTTGAACGTGGGCACCATGAGTCCTCAGAGGCTCCTGGACAGAGACCCACATGAAGATCGGAAGCCCTTTGGATGGCGTTGCAGATCTCATTGCTTAATAAGCCGTGAAGGTTTTAATTCTCATCCCACTCTCAGTTGGACTTTCTGGCACTCTTCCTGCATTGAGTCTCCCGGTGTTGAACAGAGCGTTGTGTAGCCTGCTGAGGAATGGAACGGAGATGCCCACAGGAGGTCCTGGTGTCATCACTGCGTGCGGGTGTGAAAGGAGAGGCCTCTTCCTCACCACCCGGCTACCTCACTCCTTCACTGGTAGCAGTGCCTATAGCTGGATCTGGGTTCTCAAAAGCGTAGATGTGCAGATAAGTGGCTGGGTTGGGTTTAGGAAGACCCATTGTTGTAGGCGAGAATTGGCAGTCTCCTTTTCAGACATATATCCTGAGGGACCTTGAAGCAGGGGAGTTCCTCTTCCAGTTTGCCTGTAGAAGTGGGAAGACTGTTGATCTTGTCCTTGACGGGGCTTCAGAACAGAGCCGTGTAGTTGAAGGTGAATCTGTCTGGCCTGACGTGCTGGGGATCTTTACCCCACCAGGGCAGATTTCCAGATAGCTCATTTCACTCTGGGTCATTCAAACTTCCTGTGACATGTTTCCCTTTCTCATTGTTGCTGATTTCCAAATAGCTGTCAGCAAGTTTCTCCTCCCTTTTACCTACACTTCACTCACTGGTGGCAGAGTTCATAGAACTAGGGACCTTGGGCAATGCTTGGAAAATACTGGCACAGAGGCACTGCTAATGTGATGATCACAGGAACAGGTGGCCAGTTGGAATAAAGGATCCTAAGAATGGTGACACACTAGTTTTCAGCACCATGCTTAGAGAACTCTTAGAGTAGGTTGGGTGTCAACCCAGTGAGCACAAGTTATGATTTAATTTATTTTGTGAAGTTTATGTGGCAACAGTGTGGCTTTCTGAAATGGGCAGATGAATTCAAGTTGAGAGATCTTTTGCATTTTCTTCTACCAGGACTGGGGGAGCGAGCAAGGCACAGTCTGAGGAAGGACGCGTGTGCTGTCCTAGGTGTTGCTGCTGGCTTCCTGGGAAGCAGTGGGTGAGGGTGGAGAGGTCCGCTTGAGGCCCTGGAATGTGGGTGACATGAGGGTGCCCAGGCCATTGCTGTGCTGGGCTCCCGCAGCCTGCCACATTTCCCTTGCACTGTAAACGAAGGTGAAGGGGTCATTTCCTGATTTCCTGCTGCTGAGAACAAATGTCTTGTTATGAACAGATGTGACAACAGTTACTCTTAGGTGCCATGGTTGATGTCAGGGTGGTCAGCTCTGGACCAAGCCACCCACCTCCAATTTGTACAACAGTATTGATACATAGGGCTACACTCATTACTGTTCAAGCGTTCTGTGTTAAAAGTTGTGTTTAATTTCTAAAGATTAAAAAAAGCAAAAAAAATGGTGCTAAACTTCCCCCCCTGAGCACGCTCAGTGAGACTGGTCATGCAAGCATTTACAGTGCCATGCTCCTCAAGCCTCTTTTCTTGTAGAATTGTTGCCCTATTTTGTCTTTCCCAGTGTATAATATTTTTTTTTAATTTTATTAAGGGTAGGGTAGGATACCTTGCCATTTAAGAAAATGAACAGAAAATTTTAAAACCCAAGAAATGGGGAAAAAAAATCAGTGCACAAGAATCGGGCTGGTGAAGCCCAGCACCACACTGCAGTGGGCTCAGTGGCTTTGGCGTGAAGAAGCCTTACTCCCTGCACATTCCCTCATGCTCCCACACAAGTCCAGCAGTGGAAACACTGGAAGGCCTCCTGCCTCGGCAAGGCACTCAGGAGGTGGCCCAGCCAAACTATCTGGCCCCGTGAGGAACGGGTACGGTCAGGGTCCTCCCTGAACAGGGCCCAGTCAGGAAGCAGTCTGGAAGTGCACGGTCATGCTCATCTCACGAGAACGTGTGGCAGATGGCTCTCAGGAAAAGACCACGTCTGGATCACCCATGTGGCAGCTTTGCATAGGAAAGTGACAGCTCCTAACTGGGACTGAACTGCCTGCCACACACGTGACCAAAGCAGCGATGAGGGTGGCAGGGTTAGGGAGAACAAAGTGTTTCCTGCTGAGTGTTTTCCTTCATCCCTGGGCTGCTCAGGCCAAACAGTAGGTAACCACTGTTGTCGAGGAGCCGGCACACCTCTGCTGGCTTGCTTTGGAGTCGGTCTCACCCCTAGCTGTGAGTGCCTTTTGGTCTGGAAAGTTGGCTCGTCTCATCATACCCACAGCTAGGACATTCTCTCCCTGTAATTATGAATTGTCCTTGTTTTACATTAACTACAAGAGAATGTCTTTGATCCCTAGAGTTTGTCGGTGTTGGATTGTTTCCACTGTGCGGTTCTTAAAACTTTTTCGCTTCATAATATTAAAACAACTCATGTTAGAGACCCTTTCCACGTGGAAGGTTCATAGTTGAGACATTACATATATTTTGTTGTTTATAATAAAAATCATCTATACAGAAGAAGTCCTGGGTGTTAATTTCAGTACTTTGCACAAGATCTGTTTTCCATGATGTGTTAACATCTACAACTTCACTAAGTGTTGGTGTTATTTTCTATCGAGACTTCTGGAGCCTAGGGAGCTATGTGTTCTTTTTGTTGTTTGTTTTCTTACTTCCCTGAAGCAAGAGACTGGCCTTCAGTGCAAAGACTTCAGACCAATTCTTTGTATTACACTTGGTTGCCTCTTGGCTATTTAACTTCTGAGTGCAAATCATTGAACTCTTTAACGAAGTATTGTAGAGAATAAATCATAATGGGTAAACATTATTTGTCCTGCCTGTTTCTTTGTAGCCATGTGACTTTGAGTTATAGGAAACCTTGATATTTGTTTAAGGCAGCCTCACATAGTATTCATTCAGCCTACATGTTTTGTGTAGTTCTTGTCAATCCCCATGATCAGCACTTGTGGACTTTTCTCTGTGTGTGTATGTGTGTTGTGTGTACAGAGGGAAGGGCAGTTGGTTTTTTAAGTTGTTATTTGACAAGTAGTTACAGACAGGAAGAGGGAGAGACAGGCAGAAAGGTTCACTCCCCAAATTGCTACATCGACCAGAGCTGGGCTGAAACTAAGCCAGGAGCTTCTTCCAGGTCTCCCGTGTGGGTGCAGGGGCCCAAGCACTTGGGCCATCTTCCACTGATTTCCCAGGTCATAAGCAGAGAGTTGGATGGGAAGAGGAGCAGCTGGGACTCAAACTAGCACCTGTATAGGATGGAGGCTTAGCCTACAGCACAGCACTGGCCCCACCACTGGTTTTAGAGCCAAATTGGTTGAGCTGTCATTCATGGACCCTTTAAAGTTTGGGGTTTTGCAGAAAGGTTTTTCATTGGGTTTTCAAATGAAACTTGACCTTGCCCAAACTCAAATCTCTGGAGCGGAAACACCAACCCCCTCCTCTTGTGGTATCTTTTGGTGATGGTGATTAACTCAAGCAAAGACTGGGGGGCAGGCTAGTGAGGTCAAGGGTAGCCTGGAAAGCTTATTATTTCTGGATGACCCAGAAAGGTTATGTGCATGGGATGCTGCAGTGCCAGCATCCCATGTGGGCGCCAGTTTGAGTCCCAGCTGCTCCTGGCTCCTGGCTTCCGACTGGTGCAGCTCCAGCCATTGCAACCACCTTGAGAGTGAAACAGCAAAAGGAAGACCTCTCTCTGCCTCTGTAACTCTGCCTTTGAAATAAATAAAATCTTAAGGGGGGGGGGGCGCTGTGGCATAGTGGGTAAAGCCACTGCTTGCAGTGCTGGCATCCCATACGGGTGCCAGTTCGAGACCCAGCTGCTCCACTTCCACTCCAGCTCTCTGCTATGGCCTGGGAAAGCAGGAGAAGATGGCCTAAGTCCTTGGGCCCCTGCACCCACATGGGAGACCCAGAAGAAGCTCCTGGCTCCTGGCTGCTGGCTGCTGGCTGCTGGCTGCTGGCTTCAGATTGGTGCAGCTCTGGCCGTTGTGGCCAATTGGGGAGTGATTCAACGGATGGAAGACTCTTCTCTCTCTTAAATAAATCTTTAAAAAAATTAAAATATAAAAAATTTTCAAAAAGGATGCCTATGTTACAGGCAGCGGCTTAACCCATTACAGCACAACGGTGGCCCCGAGACAGTTTCAAATCTAGTTTCCATCATTTAGAAAAGAATGACCAGTGCAGTGTGGGGGGAAAATTATTTTCAATTTGTTAGACAACATTTAAAAATCATTCTCTGTGTATACATTTTCTTTCTTTTTTTTTTTTTTTTTTTTTTTAATACAAAGCAGATGTATTTGCACTCACAACAATGAGGACTGGAAAGAAAGCCGTCTTCGGGCAAGTGGAAGCTATCACGGCTTAGGACCCACTACACTGAGCTGATGCCTCAGCAGGCTTCTAATTTCTCCAGAAAGGCAAGGTGGTATTCCAGATAATCTATGTTCATTTTCTGTTTTTCCAGGAACTCTCCCACAGAGTGAAAGATCATTTTCACCAGTCTTGGAAGCTGAAGTCTGTAGGTCTTGCAAGATCTTGCTTTGTACGTTCTCCATGTGCAGAGCAGACATGAAGGCTTGCGTGCCGGTTCCCCAGTTATCTATATCAGGCCTCTTAACCAGAAGGCAGATTTTGCCCTCACGTTTCCTCAGATGTCTCAGGAACTACCTAGCATGCTCCCTCTTCACCTCAGCCTGCTCCTCAAAGAACAGGGCAAAGGGAGCCAATCCTGTCTTCATTGTACTAACAGGCCATGGATAAATAAGCATCCCTGATGTGCAGCTGGTGAGATGCTACTCAGTTAATTGCAGTTCTACACTCTTTCTGGAAGGGGCCATGGGCCATGGACCTGGTATTCTATCAGCCTTATGAAAGTCCAGCCGTAAAAAGCACCCCATGAATTTTCTACAAAAAGAAAGTTCGCTCCAAATATTTAAAGGATATTCTATAAAACATAGAAGTGAATCAGGCCCAACGCTGTGGTGTAGCGGGTAAAGCTGCCATCTGCAATGCCAGTATCCCATCTGGGCACTGGTTCAAGTCTCAGCTGCTCCACTTCCAATCCAGCTCTCTGCTCTGGCCTGGAAAAGCAGTAGAAGATGGCCCAAGTCCTTGGGCCCCTGCACCAGTGAGGGAGACATGGACGAAACGCCTGACTCCTGGCTTTGTATTGATGCCGCTCTGGCCGTTGCAGCCAATTGAGAAGTGAACCAGCAGATGAAAGACCTCTCTGTCTCTCTCTCCTCTCTCTCTTCCCTTCTCTCTGTCTCTCTACCTCTCTTGTCTGTGTAACTCTTCCAAAAAAAATAATTAAAAAAAAAAGTTAAGTGAATTGGGGAGTGGGCATGTGGTTTGGTAGCTTAAGTCGCTGCTTGGGATAACGGCATCCCATATTAAAGTGCCTGGTTTGAGTCCCAGCTGTTCTGCTTCCAATGCAATTTCCTGCTGGTGCACGTCCTGGAGGCTCAGCTGATGGCTCAGATGCTCGGGTCCCTGCCACCCACATGGGAGACCCAGATGGAGTTTCTGGCTTCTGAAGCCTCACTGAGTCCTGGCTGATGTGGGTATTTGGGGAGTGAACCAATGGGCAGCACATCTCTGTCTCTGCTTTTCAAATAAGATGAAAAGAAATTTTTACAATTGTATTTGAAATGTTTAATGAACTGATAGGATTTCTTGTTATTTTTGACATTGTAACCATCCCTGTTGTCTTTCGAATGTGAAACTATCTGCTCAGAAGTCAGCGGTGAGGCTGCCCTGTGATGCAGCAGGTTAAAGCCCTGGCCTGCATTGGAGGGTGAACCAACGGCAAAGGAAGACCTTTCTCTCTGTCTCTCTCTCTCACTGTCCACTCTGCCTGTCAAAAAAAAAAAAAAAAAAAAAAAAAAAAAAAAAAAAGCCCTGGCCTGAAGCGCCGGCATCCCATATGGGCGCTGGTTCTAGTCCTGGCTGCTGCTCTTCCCATCCAGCTCTCTGTTATGGCCTGGGATAGCAGTAGAAGATGGACTAAGTCCCTGGGCCCCTCACCCACGTGGGAGACCTGGAAAAAGCTCCTGGCTCCTGGCTTCAGATTGGTGCAGCTCTAGCCGTTGCAGCCATCTGGGGAGTGAACCATTGGATAGAAGACCTCTCTGTCTCTACCTCTCTCTGTAACTCTGTCTTTCAAATAAATAAAATAGATCTATTAAAAAAAAAAAGTCAGTGGTGGTAATTCTAGCCTGAGTGGAGTAGGGAGGTTCTCTCAAGCTGCTTCCATATCAATCGAAGGCCCGTGCCCTTGGCTTGACTATCTGACTTTGAAATACTACTATTCAGGCGGCTGGCACTGTGGTATAGTGAATAAAGCCGTGTGCCGGCCAGCATCCTATATGGGCACCGGTTTGAGTATCGGCTACTTCGCTTTTGATCCAGCTCCCTGCTAATCTGACTGGGAAGGCAATGGAAGATGGCCCAAGTGCTTGGGCCCCCAGCACCCATGTGGGAGACCCAGAAAAGGCTCCTGGCTCCTGTCTTCAGCTCAGCTCAGCTCCAGCTGTTGCTGCCACTTGAGGAATGAACCAGCAAACGGGAGACCTCTCTCTCTCTTCTTCTAACTGCCTTTCAAGTAACTAAATAAATCTTTTTAAAAATATTACTATTGGGGCCAGCGCTGTGACATAGCGGGTAAAGCCGCTGCCTGCATTGCCAGCATCCCATTTGGGCGCCGGCTCAAGTCCTCGCTGCTCCACTTCCAATCCAGCTCTCTGCTATGGCCTGGGAAAGCAGTGGAGGATGGCCCAGGTCCTTGGGCCCCTGTAGCTATGTGGGAGACCTGGAGGAAGCTCCTGGCTCCTGGCTTCAGATTGGCACAGCTCCAGCCATTGTGGCCAACTGGGGAGTGAACCAGTGGATGGAAGACCTCTCTCTCTCTCTCTCTCTCTCTCTCTCTCTCTCTCTCTCTGTGCCTCTCCTTCTCTCTGTGTAACTCTTTTCAAATAAATCTTTAAAAAAAATACTGCTATTCAGTGGGCTGGTGGAACTGGTGCTGTACAAGGAATCATAGCATCTTAAGGACTAAAGCACATCCTATCCCTTCTCAGTGTTCCTCATTGTGAGATGAGGCTCAGATGTAGAATCTAGGTTCTCTTCCTGCTGCTTACTTGCTCTGTATGCCATAGCAAATTAAAACAACAACGACAACAAAAATAAAGGGTCCCTCCAATTTCAGAACCGTTAGGGAAATGGAGTGAGAAAGGGTCTTGGGCTCACCCTGGCAGTCCTTTAAGTCCCTGCTGACAATCAAACAACTCCCCCCCAACCCACACACACACCCCACCACCACTACCACCTCCATTTCCAGTGTGGTCATTATTTGATCCCATGATGGCTTTGAGCCAAATAACCCAGGGCACTGACGACTGGAATCTTCCCAGGCTGGCAGTGCAGTAGGCTTCAAATCTCGGACCTGCCACTTAGGAGATAGACAAGTATGACTATACTGAGCTTAATTTCCTGCTCTTGGACAGGGGCCATGAAAGCCCACAGTCATCTGCTGGCAATGCTTTGCCCAGCACCCTCCCACACACGCACACACACAAACAGCAGGTTGGTAGGAAGGCTGTGGCCTGTGGCTATCTGGACCATCATCCAGGGTTGGTTGGGTGCAGCTGGCCATAACATGGCAAGTGTGGAACCTTCCAGAACCATAAGCTGCTCTGGGCATGTGAAAGCGATGAGGCCCAGACTTCCTTAAGGAGGTCAGTGTGAAGTAAGCAGGGCATGACTTCCAGGATTTATTTATTTTTTGAAAGGCAGAGTTACAGAG